ACGCGTAACCGCACGTGTTACAGGTGCGACACGGGTGTCTATAGAGTAATAAAGGTAGCTTGAGGGTAACATAGTCATTCGAGTCTTGACGGTTCATCAACTCACTTCAAGAAATTATATTTTCTTTTGTTAAATCATAGAATTATGAAATTTCCCCGTTTTCCTCGAGACAGACATGAACTTCAGGGATGATGCCAGGAAGGGAATTCCTAGCGTCACCCATGATCCGGATTCAGGAGGAATGGAGAAGGGAGAAGGGAAGAAAGATCGGACACGTGCACTTGTATTTCATGTACATTGTTCCTGTAATAAAATGGTTGACCGTCGAAGGCCACTCCCATGCATAGGTGTTGAGTTTTATATGATAAATGCTTTATGTTCGGTTGAACGTAGTGAATTAGGACCATAAGGTCACCTACAGTCTACTACAGTCAACTACTGTCGTCCCCGGGGCCCCACTACGGTCAACTACGTGCGTGACTGAGTAAGCTGTGACCACGGCTTGAACTATTTCACATATTGGTCTCCAACTTCCACATATATACTTATGCCCTTTAATTTATTTGAAGAACAGCCATGTTGGATAGGTGTTTTCCTTTACCCTGGACAGGTGTATCCACACTTTTGCAGATGTGAGATTTCCCTTTCTCTCACACTAGACAGGTGTATCCAAACTTTTGCAGATGTGAAATTTCCCTTTCTCTCACACTAGACAGGTGTGACCACACTTTTCTCTGGGTTATCCTTTTCTCACCCTAAGGTTGAGATAAGGGGATTCCCCAGTATATTAACAATGAATTAGCATCACATCAACAATGCACCATGACCCCTTAATGTCAAACATATATATATGATATGGTTAACAGGTTATGAGAGAGAAAAAAATATCACTCCCCTGGAGGTGGGATAGGGGATCTCATCCCTTGGGAAAGGACTTTTAATTTGTGAAATACTAAGCAGTCTTTATGTTTGGCAACTTAAAAATTCTTCCCCCTCAGAGTTAAGATCCAGCTATGGTGTATCAACCCCTATGGGGGTGAAATATTTAATTAACCCAAAATGAGTACAATCAGTGACCTTTACTATTTTGACATCACAATCAGGTGACAATGTCACTTATGTCGTCACAATCAGACGAAAATGTTATGATATTATGACATCACAATGTTATTTTATTACATCACAATCAAAATCCCATCAAAACCTTTTTTGACAATCTATGGTAATCCTGCAATTGACAAAGAACAAAACCTTATGAATATAGGAATTATTACAAAATCTTTCCCTGAAGGTCTTGCAGGCCTATTTTAATGTGGCATAACCTAAGTAATACAAAGCCTTTTTTCTGCTCTTTCCATATACCAGGTATATATATCCTTAATATTTTATCTAGAATATTTTATATATGTTAAGTGTTGCATTTGCGCTTTGTTGAAATCCTGTTTTACTTAAATTTTGGTTCTGAGGTGGTAGAAAATTAAAAGAATCACTTGTTATGTAGGTATGTATAGGATATGGAAACTCTACCCTAGGTGTGGAATTTGGGGTCAGAACCTCAACGAATCCTCTGTTGTGCCCCAAATTCTACGCCCTTGGATAGAATATCCAAACCACACATATTTAAATATGATTGTCCGCATTAAGGGTCCCCGTACCACTGCCAAAAACTGAAACTAAGTATTGAAAACTGTTTTTTCCGGCAGGACTATAGGTTTGATTTATCATTTCCAGAAGGAAACCATATCTTGCGGGACTTTTATGAGAAGCAATAAAGACGATATAGACAAAATGTTATCAACAACAGTGTTTTGAATGGAAAAAAATCAGCGGGGCTAGACCGAGATTCGAACCCCGGACATCAGATAATTATGCCATTCCACTAACTGATGGAGCTACCTGGTCGACGGAAGTGTTCTAACCCAATTGTGCTACCGCTATATCCAAACGGATGTTAAAGGGAGGTTACTGTATTGACGTAAAACCACAGTGCAGTGGGACAGGGATCCTTAATTATATATAATCGCATACAGTTTTACCATTATTGTATTATACATGTCATGTATTTGTATTTTACCCCTTGTAATATTAGTTGTTATGAAATTATTTCAAAAGCTAACGGACATGTCAACTTAGCATTGCAATGCGTATATTTGTATACATGTACATAGCACTTTAAATAATGGTGCTGACACACTAGTTGTCAAATATTAACAGCGACATGCTCCTTTTCAAGAAAACACATGAAAACCTACTTACAAACATGAGTTTGTTCCATTGTCTTTTTTTATGGGATGTAAAAACCAATTTTAAATCTGTTCTTTTTTAGAAATCCATTTTTCAAACTTGTGATACGAACCGTAATCCTGTAAAGCGCACAAGAATAACAGCCTCATGTTACAGGGTCTGGTCTGTTGATTGGTTAAAATGATCAACAGAATATCGTAAAGTAAGACATTTATCATCTATCTCTACACGAGATTTAATAGAAAGATGTCCTCTTACCCAGCATAAAGATATCAAAAAGACCTTTTTATGGGATAGTAAAACTATAGTAATTACAGTATAGTAAATCCTGTGGATTTGACAGTATACAGGATAACCAAGCTATGAATCAGAGCTGGGGCCAGTTAAACAGGTTTTAACTATCTTAGAAATATTACCAAGATTATGTTAACCTTTTGTTAAGAAATTTAACACTGGTGCATCAGCGAGCATGGCCAGATGTCAACATTTCATTAAGAAATTTAAACACTGGTGTTACTGTGCATCAGCCAATCGTGTTTAACTATCCACGAATAATTACCTTGATGTCAACATTTCATTTAAGAAATGAAACACTGGTGCATCAGACATGCATGTTTCAATTAACAAAATCTCTCCAGTGATGCTGAAGACCAAAATTTTGAAAAAGAGACGAGTAGATGAAATTTATACCGATGTTGTGCAAAATACACTGTCACAAACATAAGCATCAGCATCTATGTCATTGTTTCTGGTGATGTCATCCCTCTAAAGGCGCAAAATAAAACCAATACACATGTAATCACACGGGCTCCCACATTAAATAGCCTCATACAAACATGTATTAACCGATGCCAATGCTTTTACTTTGACCGTGTACAGGAAGAGACTCCAGCAATGGTACATATATATGAGTCGAATTAAAACCTCATCTGTTGTATCACCTCCTACCTCTCTATAAAGACCTATTCTACTATATAACATTCTTAACTGTCTTTAAAGACCTCATTAGCTATATAATCTTCCTACCTACCTGTCTATAAATACCTCTTATTTCTATAACCTTTCTACCTGTCTATAAAGACCCCATTTGATATATAACCTTCCTACCTGTCTATTAAAACCAATATGTTATATAACCTTCTACCTGTCTATTAAGACCTATATGTTATATAACCTTCTACCTGTCTATTAAGACCTATATGTTATATAACCTTCTACCTGTCTATAAGACATATATGTTATATAACCTTACTACCTGTCTATTAAGACCTATATGTTATATAACCTTCTACCTGTCTATTAAGACCTATATGTTATATAACCTTCTACCTGTCTATAAAGACCTATGTTATATAACCTTACTACCTGTCTATTAAGACATGTTATATAACATTCAACCTGTCTATAAAGACCTGTTATATAACCTCATACCTGTCTATAAAGACATATATGTTATATAAACTTAATACCTGCCTATAAAGACCTCGTCTTAAATATAACCTCCTACCTGTCTATATAGACCTCAACTGCTATATAACCTTTCTACCTGTCTATTAAGACTTCAATTATCATATCCCCCCCCCCCCTCTATTTGTTAAACACGTCTGGTGATTCAAATTATGATGGCTCCATGAGATAGCAGTACTACAGGGCTGACTGGTGTCATTCTGAGGGTAAGACAGGGCTTTTTCTCTGTTTTGGGAATGGAGCCTGTGGCTTTTAAATTTGGAAAATGTGTCACAATAAACCATTTTTCAGAATTTTTCCCTTTTTTTTTTTTACAAAGTGTCATCTAAAAAAACAAAAAATGTCCTTAATTGTGACAAATTATTTCAGTTTCAATATTGCTGCTGGATTGTCATCTGAATATATAAAAGATGAGCATTACAAAAAAAATGGGAGGTTAGGCAGGGGGATAGCTAGCCCTTGCTTGGAGTGGATTCATCATTTAGGAACAGGTCCGGTAGGGGGATCACGAGGATCAGAAGTGTTTTTGTATTTTTTGTTGTTTTTGTTTTTAAATTTGGTGGATTCAACAGTGTGACAGTGTTAGGCAGCTATGCACCTGGTAGGTAGGGCAAAATTTAAAAGCTATCCTTTTGAAAATAATTTACGAAGGTTTTATATATATATATAGACAACATTTCAGACTTTCATAGTGCTTAGTGCTTGTTCATAATCAGCCAAAGGAAACAGAAATTACCCTCGACATATCCTGATGATTGGTGCCCCTACTTCTGGGTTGATAGGAGTTAGAGACCACAATGTAACGACATACACAGAATAAGTCAGAAGTACATCACTATCAAAGGTATGCTAACTTATCTTATATATATATAATAAAACAAATCAAACTGTCTGGTTCTCTTTCTCAGCATTATCTTCACAGCATCAGATTTTTTTCCCAGGAGAAATGTTCAAATATTTATATGAGATGCCGGTGATAAGAGTTAATCGTTTGAACACAGTTATGACAAAGGTATGTAGTGCACCTGTGGGAGGGAAGCTATGTTTGGTCTGTTTGGTGTGTTGCAGAAAAAGTTTCCAAAATAATTCATCACTAAATTATAATCCACCACCAGAAAATTTTAACATCGTTATTTTCATCGCCACTGTCTTAGTGTAAAATATCTTAGTACCGTAATTAATTTCATGATTAAAAAGCTAGATAAATATATCATACAAAAAGTTTGTTAAGTTGACTATGCGTGATGTCGCGTCTGTCGACAAAACATCAAAGATATATAGGTACCTACCTTGTGCGCAACGCACATTGGGGACTTCTTCACACTAATCCAGTTTATGTCAGTGATGTTCCGAGTTGTCACCGACAAGTGTAGGTAGTTTCTTCAATTATTCAATAAAAATGAAACAAGAGAACGGTGAAAAGAAAGTAACACACAGTGTTACCTCGAGTAAAGTATCCACGGCGAAATTTACATAAGGCGAGATATAGATACAGGTAAACCGCCAATCTTCAAACAAAGACAGTGAAATTAAAAATATCCCAAAATAACGAGATAACTGACTGATCCCAAACACCAGAAAATGTAGAAATGGTTGTTCCTCCGGGACGAAAGTGTTATGAAGTATAAATCCGGAAGACTGAGAGTGGGATCGCTACCCTAGGACACAAAGGACCGGTAACAGCACATGTTATGAATGAGTGTGTGTGTACACATACGCCACAGACTGCAGACCCCACTGAGTAGGATCTCACTGTTGGGATACTGGCGAGCACTGGAGCAGACGCTCTCGGGAACACGGTAAACCTCGACAGCAGGGTGAAAGCTGTTCCTCTGCGGCTCACAAAGAGGCTGGACTGACTCGCAAGATCAGAGGCAGGACAGTTTCCGACCTAGTGTCTGAGACGGGAGCTGGGTATCTGAGATGCAGAAACACGACCGGCTTACGGGAATCTGGTATCAGAACGGCACTACTGAATCACAGTTGATAAGGAGACAGGGCGCACAGGAGTCAGTACCCCAGTTCACAGGAATTGGTTTCCGAGATACAGGGGTTTTCTAAGGTCATATGAAGAAGGGTTCATAGTTAGACACCACAGAAGAAAAAAAACTATAAGTAAACAAAACGAGGTCCAAGATGTTGCAATATGACAGTTTTGGTTTCATTGTTCCGAGTCTAAGAAAATCACCGGTTTCTACAGCGGACCACGTTAGTCGCCTCATACGTACGTTCTTTCCCTGAAATTCAAGTGTTCGGACTAGGCATTTTTTATATAAATATTTTCACTACTTGTTGTTTATAATACCAAACAATGTTCCACCAAAGTTATATTCCTAGCACACGTAATCGCGGGGTTTTTTTATTCCATAAAAGTATCCTCCACCCCAAATACAATATTACATTGCGGTTAGAATGGCGGTTATTTTTTATTGATAAAGGGAGAACCATTGTGTTTAAAAGAAAAAACAACAAACGAATATTAAGGTGTCAGCAAAATTGTAATTTAAACTCAACATCGAAAAAAGACTAGGACAAAATATTGTATGAGCAAAAGAAAATATTTATATGGTACCATAAAAAAAAATACAGGAAGATCAGATGTTCCGGAAAGGTATTCGTACGCTTCTGCTTCAACGACGATAGCCGCTACATAAGTCTAGGTCTGATCCAAGTAATGGCACGTCCTCAAAGTAAAAACCGCTCTATAAGCAAAATAACACAAGCTAATACTGTAACGAGCATAAATAAAAAGAAATCACGTCACACAAATACATAGCATTCTTATTAATGAGATCATGACAGCGAACATAAATTTAGACTTGTCCATAGTTTGGTTTTTTTTATTTACACGCATCTCTCGAAACCCAATATGTCCTAATTTTGTCCGTCAGAATCCGACTTCTATCACGGAAATCTACATATTGGTAGCAAGCTCCTGGAAACCGAATCAACTGCGACATATAGACACCGAAGCTGAATTGAGTTTTGGTACAATGTTTGCTATTTATACAATATTTGTAATATAAATATTAATGTCTGTCCATGTTGAATGTCGAACCACTTAGTCTGAACCCGTACGGATACTAAGAGACATGAGTGACTCACGTGACTCGGAATCTGAGAGACAGGTCTGGTTCACAATAGTTGGCCCCTGAGCGTTCAATACAAAGAGACTGCTTTACAATCTTAGCCCAGGCAATATTCAATTTCAGTTACCGGAAATTAGCTGAATAAGGTTGTTAAAAGAGCCGCGTGGTTATTGTTTAAATAACATCCGTAAAAAATTCGATCGTGACACTTACATATGATATTAGCAATGCAATATTGAGATGATATAACAAAATTAATAAAAGTCGTATTTGGATTATGAATTATTTTGCAAAGATACTCCAGTCGGGAACAGTCGGTACTTTCCGCAAACGAGAAAGTAAAAAAAAAAATGTCTCGTTTACGGTAAGTGCCGACAGTTCCCGATTGTTGACATCTTTCAACGTAAAGTTTCCTTTTATTCGGGACGTTTTTTCAACCCTGAAGTTTAAAATTTACAAGGCAAAATTCTTTTAATTGAAATAAAGCATATAAGAAAAATGTCAAAATTCTTTTCACACGAGATAAATCGGGGGAATGTTCTCAGTATTTACTACCAAGATGTAGTTAATTACAGCTAGAGAGGAGTGCCTAAAGCTAGGAAATGTCATCCCACCAAAGGGTTCATTCCAGTAAACCACACCAAAACGAGCTACAAGCCGATAATGAATTGACCCACTTGAAAATTAAAAAAAGTTCTTTCAATATTAACACATTATTGAGAGATTACATTAAAGAATTCCTACAGGCTTTGGATGGTTACCATGGATACTCGCAATGGAAACCGCCACATCCTCCGTTTCTCGAGATTTGATCAAGTTGAACCTTTTGTGTTAAATGTCCCAAACTTTTGGTGTTGTGTTGTGACTACGTATTCAGTTGTCGGTACATTGATTTAAGAATCATTTTCTGCATACAATATATATTGGTATGTTTGAGATTTTGTTTACAAATAATTTCTACTTTCCAATTTTCTTAAAAATATTTTGATTTTTATAAACTGATTGGATTACGCTGTAATTTCAGTACCTTCCATCCTGCCTGTCAAAACGTATCAATTTCCTAACCGCGCATTTTACAATTATGAAATTTAAAGAATAATTGAATTTGAACGAAATCGACGTAAATTTACGGTGGCCCTTTCTGTACTCAGCAGGAAGACGGTCTGTGGGAGTATGCGAGGTTATATAACACGGTCGTCAATCTACCGTGTTTGTAACTCTCATAACGGAACTATGTAATACAGTTCGTGTATATCTGAGACCTTCAGAGGTAATCGTAACATATGGACATATTAGGTACACCCTTACTGACGGCTTAAAGTATCGGGTACGACCATACTGTGTGTTTATATCGGGTACGACCATACTGTGTGCTTATATCAGGTACGACCATACTGTGTGCTTATATCGGGTACGACCATACTGTGTGCTTATATCGGGTACGACCATACAGTGTGCTTATATCGAGTACGACCATACTGTGTGCTTATATCGGGTACTACCATACTGGGGGCTCATATCAGGTACGACCATACTGTATGCTTATATCGGGTACGACCATCCTGTGTGCTTATATCAGGAACGACCATACTGTGTGCTTCTTTCGGGTACGACCATACAGTGTGATTATATCGAGTACGACCATACTGTGTGCTTATATGGGGTACGACCATACTGTGTGTTTATATCGGGTACGACCATACAGTGTGATTATATCGAGTACGACCATACTGTGTGCTTATATAGGGGACGACCATACTGTGTGCTTCTTTCGGGTACGACCATACAGTGTGCTCATATCGAGTACGACCATACTGGGTGCTTATATTGGGTACGACCATACTGTGTGCTTATATCGGGTACGACCATACTGTGTGCTTATATTGGGTACGACCATACTGTGTGCTTATATCGGATACGACCATACTGTGTGCTTATACATCTGGTATAAATCGGGATTGTCCGTGCTGCCGGATATAATCGGATACGTTCGTATAATGTCAGCTAAAATCAGGTATGTCAGTACTGTCGTCTATAATTGGGTATGTCCGAGTCGGGTACGTGCATACATTTTGGCTATGATTGGGTACGTCCAAACTCGGCTATAATCAGGTACGTCCATAGTCTCGGCTATAATCGGGTACGTCCATACTTTCGGCTATAATCAGGTACGTCCATACTCTCTGCTATAATCGGGTACGTCCATACTCTCGGCTATAATCAGGTACGTCCATACTCTCTGCTATAATCAGGTACGTCCATACTCTCGGCTATAATCAGGTACGTCCATACTCTCGGCTATAATCAGGTACGTCCATACTCGGCTACAATCAGGTACGTCCATACTCGGCTATAATCAGGTACGTCCATACTCGGCTATAATCAGGTACGTCCATACTCGGCAATAATCAGGTACGTCCATACTCTCGGCTATAATCAGATTCGTCCATACTCTCGGCTATAAGCAGGTACGTCCATACTCTCGGCTATAATCAGGTACGTCCGTACTCTCGGCAATAATCAGGTACGTCCATACTCGGCTATAATCAGGTACGTCCATACTCGGCTATAATCAGGTACGTTCATACTCTCGGCTATAATCGGGTATATCCATACTCGGCTATAATCAGGTACGTCCATGCTGTCGGCTATAATCAGATACGTTCATGCTGTCGGCTATAATCGGGTACGTCCAGAAGTTAATACGATTTTCGGATATGATTCCATCGTTAACATTCTCTGGTCATTAGACTGTACTTTTTCTTGTCTAATTGTACTTGTAAGTAATATTCAACTTCAAACAATGACGCTATATAACTTATGTACAATTAAAGTTGTATCTCTGTCAAGTAACTCCGAAGCTCCGAAAGGCATACACTTTCTGGAGACCCAGGTGACCATTGATCATCATTCACCTTGATATGATGGGCGTAAATTCAACCATCATTAAACGATATATCAGCCGAATATTTGTTTGTCTGTGTCAATTTTTAGTATAGAACTTATTACCTGAACAAAATACTAACTTGTTTGACCTTGAAGTGACATCGAGTTTAGGAACGTCAAATAGGCGCCTTCTCACAGTCACAGACGTTTGTCCACATACTTTGTTAATGCTTTATCATTTCAGAGGTTAATAACACCAACCATTAGCCAGAACAGGTCTATAAAACGTTAGCGACAGGAGGATTACCATGCTAAATGTAACAGCTAGATACATATATCGGTGTGGCCTAAATAACTTGAACGCGTTAAGGTAAAAGAACAGCGAAGACGTCGTCGTGTTTACTAAACAGGCGTCGTCGTGATACTACACCATATTTACATTGCCACTGCCTGCAAGTTCCTATATCAGCATTTACCATAAGACTTTGTTGTGGAATAGGTGCTAGAAATGTAATCAATTTACCATCAATCTTACAAGCGCCGAGACATTTTAAGTCAGTCCTGGCTAATACTGTTTCAGCCAAACCATCATTGGACTGGAGTAGACTGGGTATTGCTTTATGTATTTTGCTGATAACTTGAAAATAAAGGAGTTAGCGGGCGCTCAGCAGTTAAGTCACATTGACCCCAAGTGACCACTGTTTCGTATCCTACCGCTGGTAATGACCTGTCTGGCTGCTACCTTGCCGGATAGCCACTCAAACACTAATCGGCCCCTATGTGACGGGCGTCGTATTCAGCC